ATTTGTGGCTGCTGCTCTAGCTGGAAGATCAAAGATTCCCATTACTAGCTTAGCTCGAAGAGCTATAGGTTGTGAAGATGATGTTTGCTGTACTACTATTCCTTTCTCTAGATGTGATATACTTTGTAAAATAGGTTGTAGCAAACAATTCATTCTTGGTTTGGTTAGCCCAAACCACAGAGAAGCTACAATTAAATTTTCAACTTTAGTTCTTAACTGAGGTGGGATACTCGTAGGCATCAAATAGACAGGCCAAAGACTTCCCTTCGATGATTTGAATATCGGTACAATATCACTAATCCTGTACTTTGAGGTGTTGACAGGAAATTGCCAGGAGACATCAAATCAGTAAAAGCCTGGCCATCATGCATATCTCTAAGATACTGACTATCCTGAATTCTTTTGAAAGGGTACAAAAAGTGATCGTGCTTCTCTAAATGAATAGAATATTATGTTGATATCACTTTATTTTATTTTTTACCACTTACCATACAACTCTCTTATACAATTTTCTAGTGGTAATAGTACCATATCACAAACTCTTCCTGAACACTTTTTGTTTGAACACTTTAGCATTTCAGAAGATATTTTTAAATGACAGTCTGCACAGAAATGTTGCACAGTGTATGACTGTAGTTTTTCCAATTCTTTTTTTAAGTGGTAAAAGTTTGGAGGTAACTTATTAGGTTTGGGGCAGTGAATCTAGCGTGTGCATAATATACAATATTCACATCAAATTTTGTATGGATCTATACCTGCATTAGAGATATGAGGTCTTCAATTGCTTTATATGATAGGTGGTTAGACATAGCATATTTCATCATGGCATACCAACTTGTTTGAACATTAATTTTGCTACCATCATACAGTTTATCTATTATAACAATGCAATTAGCTGGTGATGTACATGTAATTGCATGTACCCTGACTGCTGATACTGATTTGATCAGATCCAATTTCACTGCTACTGAGTATGTCATCATCAACTACATGTACATTGCAAGATAAAAAACATTTTTATCTGAATACCTGTAACATGACTAGAAACACCTCCTTCACTATCTGTATCCTTACTAGATCCATTTGATGGTCCTTCACTGTCATAGCTACTCTCATGGCTTTCACCTTGACCTGCATCACTGTCACATGTGTATTCTTGTTGATTTGAAGCTATAGGTATCATAAATGAAGAAATATAGAAGCTATCCATACTTCCCATTCTGAACTCCACATTAATGCATTGATGTTCATTGTCCAGCTCATTATTGTCTGTATCAGCTATTATATATATACAATGTAAATTCTGAAAAAGGTTAAAGTTGCATGCTCACTTTGAAAGTTATCTAATAGATCTATGTCAGAAATGTCAGCACTGCATGTATCATCTGATTCATCACAATCACCACTGTCTGTATCACTAATATCTGTATCAATAATATCTGTATCACTAATATCTGTATCACAATCAGTACTTTGGCTTAAACTATCTTCTCTGGCACCATTATTATCTTGAGTAACTTGAGCAAATTTACCTATAGTATGCACTTCAAATTGAGTAATTATGCATGTAATTACTTTTTTTCCATCTCCACTTGGTTTGTCGTGGTATGGATACTGAAGCATCGATATTGTAAAGTCGCCTTCTTTTAATTCCAGTGCCATATTTGACATTAGATCTAGAAACACTTGCTGCCTCATTTGCATGTTGTTTCTTATGTCTCCAAGCTGATGTTTTTGGAATTGGGGTTGACGGATCTTGTAGATAAGCATCGTATCTTTTGCACTTATCAGTCATGGCTACTGCACAAAGTTCAAAGTTCAGACATAGATATTGTGGTTCAGAGTACTTACAACTGCGCATGCGCATTGCGCTTTACATACATGTGTTCATTGTGTTGATAAAGTGGTCGTTTGGCCGTCTCCTTCAAGTGATAACAAGTGTAAACAAACTAAACATCAGTCCTACTCTGAGGTATTATGTCTGAGAATAAGAAGAGGAAGAGGGCTTTAAGTCAAAAGGTCAAGGAATCTGTGGAACCATGGCAGACTGCAAGCTCTGAGGGAAAATATCAATGTAAGTTCAGTAATATAATTATAAGGAAGTGGATATTGGTCCAGCAGCCGGACACGA